ATGTCACCACTGCAACCATCCTCTGGCTCCCTCCCTCCCTTTCCTAGTGCAGTAGAAGGCTAACAGGAGCGCGCATCCCAGCCCTGTTGGCTCCTCCAGCGTGAAAAGCCTGAGGTCAAGACACCGGCAAGCCCTTGCGTCCCACCAGAGCATGGAGGCAGAGAGCCACGGGCCAGCCGCCCCGCACGACCAAGCAATTGACCGTGGTGTGGGGTCCTCTGGGAAGGAGCCAGCCTCCACAGCTGCAGCCCGCAGGGCTCCAAATCAGAGTCCGCATTTTTCTGAGTTATCTCATCCTCTCTGCTAACTTGTATTTTACGACACTACAGGTTTACAGGCAATATTGTAAAACCAGGGAAAGTATTGGATTTTTTTTTTTTCCTTCGTTCTCCCCTATTACAAACCTGAGATTCTGGAACGTGATTCTGGGCCAAGTGTAAATTCCATTTCAAAGCAGCAGAAAACACAGTGACCTCCTTATACCTTTGCCATGACAAAGCACCAAGTTTCAGCAACGTGCATCTCATTCACCAGACCTCTGCAAATCACTCAGGATAATCTCCTTATTCTCTCCACTTCACTGTTGCATTCACCCAGTCTCCTCTGTGCCATAGTGGCAACTTCTTGCCCCAGATCTAGGGCACAGACCTTCAAGGATGAAGAAACATCATGCTGCCGTCACCCCACTGCTGTTCACCAGATGGCATCATTTCTAATCCATTTTGGCCTTCACCTTAGGAACCTCTAGAAATATTTGCCATCAAAAAGAATCCTCTAAGGAAAAAGAGGTGCCCAACCGTGCACCGAACCCTCACTTGCACTGCCTCCCACCACCCAGTTGGTACAACTGCTTTGCTCATGTGCCAACAGAGTGGGAATTTCCTTCAATGTGATCTACTGCTGGTCTCCGTCTTTCATCTCCATTGTAGACCAGAAAGCATCTCCTCCCCCGTGCTTGGAATACATCCACCTTTGCTCCCGTTTAGTGAAAGAAAAGCCCCAATTTCCAATGGATGTGCTCGGGCAACAAGAAATGCAGGTCTGCAGGAGCTCTGATTGCTGCGAAAACATCTGAAATGAACACCTGATACAGAGTTTCAAAAGCTTCAAGAATACCATGGAAAACATGATCAGACTTGGTAACACTTGAGGTCTTTGTTGTCTTGGGCTCTACTGGAGCCCACAAAGCAACACCTAATAATGAACAAGACTGATAAAATTAATGGGTGAATCTGTGCAACTCACCTTTCCTCACTGAGGGCTGGAGGTTCAGATGTCTCATGGCCAAGTGAAATCAGTTTGGTGGGCCTCCACTTAGCTTCTCCTACATGCAAATCATGGAACCACTGCCCAATTTACTATCACCATTTGCAACCCTCTGCTGAGGAAAATCAAAGACTCAAACTGCAGAACATGCTGCTGAAAACAAGAGAAGCACGAGTAGAGCTGAAGGCTGGAAGACTGAAGAACATACAGCTCAGAGCCATGAGATCATCCCTTCCTACTTACTGCATTTATTCAAAAAGCAACGTATTCAGAACAACTCTAGATGCCAATACTTATGAGTTCTCATGACTTCTCATGCATCACAGGCACATATGCGTTGAAACTTCATTACCGTTCTGTAGCAGTAGCATTCTGAAATAACTGTGGGCAAATTTAACTAGCCTGCCTCTGCAGTGCCAGGGCACAGCTTATCATCCTTACCACGCCAGGCAAAGCTCATTGCTCCCATCCGAGCACGTCTGCACCACTTTTCTATCCTCTTCTGTGTTCACCTGGATGTATGTGATGGTTTTTGGTTAGCTCCTATCATTCAAATCCTAATGGAAAATAAGCTGGAGAAGGATGTTTAAGCAGCAGGCGCTGGGGCAAGGCCACTGAAGTCACACTGGTGAGAGCACAGATGAAGAACTAACCTCTAGTTTGACTAAGCGATCTACACGTACATTTTCAAACACTTGGGTTAGTTTAACACCCATAGGACTGGTAGAAATGGAGAGAGAGGAGAAAGCCACAAGTACTCTGCTTTCAGCGAGTTTCAGGGTTTGTCTTCCTCTTTCTTTTGCTATGCCTATAATTCCCCTTTGCTGCTAAGGTGGAAAGAAAGCACAGCCTTCGATTTTAACATCCCATTACCTGCATTTCTGTGCTGGCTCAAGTTTAGACGGAGCAAACCTGCCAGCTGGACCAAGGCCAGAGGGAAGAAAAAAAAGTTTCAAGTGCAAAGAACCAATTTATCAGGAACAAATCTTAACAACCAAAAGACACACTTCTGCTGGTGGATTCTATTCATGTGCGTAATAAAAACCCCGGTACAAGGTAACCTAACAAAATACTCTTTAGTGGCTATCTGAAGTATCTTGGGGTAGATAATCTTCAACCGCCAGTCTACATTTCACGTTTTCTGGATAAATTTGGTGCCTGTGAGGACAAGGAATGCTGACACTGAATAGCCAAGGACTGTGCAGAGAACATCATCTTTCACTTGGCTCCGAAAGTATTTGAGCCCGACCCACAGCCTCTGGCTTCTCCAAGACTCCACACGCCAGGCCAGCAAATCTCACGTGTGCTCCAAATATAGCCCCCTCCCCCAGCAGCGGCTGCAATACAGGCTTTGCCCTGCCCCAAGCACTGCTCTCAAACCCACCCTTTCCTATCACCCTACGCATCCTTGCTGGACCTCCAAAAGCGAAAAGGTGACGAACAAGACTTTGTCAGAGGTTTTGTGGTGGTTTCAGAGGAGGAAAATAGGCGAGGAGCTGCTCCTGGTGGCTCGCCATCCCTGCGGGACGGACTGCAGTCACACGTACAAGTCACATGTGCCCGGACAATGCAGTAAGGCACGCAACAACAGACTAGTTTGCAGAGCATGGCATTGCTGTCAGCTCAACCCCCCTACAAAAAAAAAAAAAAAAAAAACCTTTGCAGTGAGGAAGCAAACCAAAATACATGAGTCTCAAAAAACACAGACCTTGGAGTTAAAGTGTCAAACAGTACTGCTCGCGTGCACGAGCCTCAAAGCCCTCTTTAGAGCCTCCGGGCTGCTGAGGCCTGGGACGCACCAAGCCAAGGAGCCCAGCATGGAAGCAATGTCCTTCTACAAAAGCAGCACATAAGCTCCAGTTTTGCCCAAAGAACATACAGAGCAAACACCAAGACTCTATAAAGTCGCCACTGTCCTTTTGCTTACCTGGACGACTGGGTATTGGTAATCCATACAATACACACCATACATAGCCAAAGATCCTCCAGCTAAAGGCCAAATGGACACAGGACTGGAAGCTTCAAACCCGAGTCTCCGTCTTTCAGCCTTGTGGGAAGGACTCTGGCAGCCCTGCGCAGTGTTTGGCTCGGGCCTCTGGGGCCACTCAGGTTGACACTAGCTCAGCTGAAAATAAAAAGGAGCTGCCTGGCTCGGCTCCGCTCAGCCCCTCTCTTCTGGGATCCAGCAAGGCAGCGCTCAACCATAGGCAGCAGAGGCTCCTAAAATTAGAAATCCCCTACTGAAAACGGCCCTGCAAGCCTCGACTGAGGAGTGTCCTGCAACTCCCAGGCAGCAAACAGAGCGACTGCTGGGAAGAGGGGGACACAGGAGCTTCGCAGCCACCACCGCCAGGGATGGGAGGAAGCAAACAGCATTTAGGATCTGAAAAGAGCATATGTTCTGGGCTCTAGGTGCGTCAGAGGGAACACTCCCAATCCAGGACAGGGAAAAACATATGGGACTGTTCCTCCCCCACCCCCATACCCTTCTTGCTGTCCTCAGCAGGGACAGGTGCTAGGATTAGCATAGTAAAACCCTTTGGTGTCGGGGAGGGAGGCAGTGGGGAGAAGCCACATTGATATCTCACGCTGAAGGGATCTCTTTCACGAGGGAGTATGCGCCCATATCGTTTAACGCCTCTCCCTCCCTCCACACTTGAGGCAGGCAGGGACAGCTGCCGGAACTGGGGCTGGCGGGGGGAGCTGGGCCCAGGGATGGCCCCCACCACCCCAGCCTTGGGCCAGCGGGTTGCCCCCCTCAGCTGTTCCAGTCGAACTGGGGGTGGGGGGATTAACTCTTCCACAGGGAACTGCGAGCAGCGGGGAGAAGGGGGCAAGGCTGGGCAGGGCCAGTTGTTGTGCCCGTTTTAGGAAGGCTGTCCCTCCCCGTTCCCAGGGAGGAATCCACTCCCTGACTGACGGGGACAGATGGGGAGCTGCCCGGACAGAGGCCGGCAGGCTCACCCCGTCGGCCCTGCGTGCTGGATGCCTTACCAGACACCTGAGTGCCCGCTGCTGATTCTTAGAAGACACACCGCGGCTGGGGGGCGCCGGGGGGGCCCGACCTCCCATAGCAAATCGCATGAGGTTTCACCCATCGCTACGCCAAACCGCACCAGGTCGACACTGGCTCAAACCCACGCTCCCAAAGAGTTGACAGCCCAAAACCACAAACGATTCCCACCGTCCTCCAAAGGAGAGCAGTGATAAAACCCCTCCCTCCGAAGCTTCAAAAATGAGGATGTTACAGTGATCAAACCCAAGAAGGGGTATCCAAATTTATCCCGCCTCCATTTTAAATGCATACGGTGGGGTTTTTTTGCATTTCTGATCTTTAGCTGTTCTGTAGTGCTGCTGTGCACCACTAAACAGCTACCTCAGCCTAGCTCTGGGGTAGCTGCCTTTCCATCATTACTGATAATTTCCTCCCCCTCAGAAGGAGTTAAACTTAAGATTTCCCCCCCCCCAAGAGGTTAAATACATGGATCATTATCTAGCACAATCTGCATGCAGGGCACTTTGTAATTTAGTTAAGGGGTGCCTAACCTGCAGCCCTCTGAACCACCCAGCCCTGCAGGACAGCTCTTGGCTCATCCTCTGCTCCCACTGCCCTTTCCTTCTGAGACGCCTCGGAAAAGGACAGCTATGAGCTGGGTGAGTGGTTACGGCAGCTGCCGCCCACTCTCATCATCTTTCCTAGGGCAACAGGGCCGCTTCTTCCTCACAAAAAGAGCATGGCCAATTTGGGGAGTATAAAGCATGACATTTTCTACTTCCAAAAAAAAAAAAACAACCCACAAAACTTTCCTATAGCCATTGTTTCTGTGTGAAGATTTGCACAGAGAGAGAAATTAATTGCCCATAAATGGGAAAGCAGCTATGCTTCTAGAGCTCTTCACTGGGGAAAAAGGATGAAGCTCTCACAATGGACTTTCATCTTGTTCTGCCTTTGACTAGTTTATTTTGCCCCAGACCCAGACCAGCTTTCTGGAGCTCACATCGTGCCTCCTCCGCTTCACCTTCAGAGGGTTGTCTGGCCGCCTCTCAGCACTCTCCCTGCAAGCCCTGCTTTGGGGCACAGATAGTATCTGGTTTCCTCTGAACGGCCAATACTTTTTTTTTCCTTCTCCCTTCTGTAACTACACGTTCAATAGGTGCCTGCCCTTCATTCTTTTGCATAGCTCGTTACTATGCACTCAGGCAATTTAGTATCTCCAATAACATCTTTTTATGAAAAGACATCAATTTATAAAAACCCGAAGTCTTTTCCACAGCCTGTTTTTGCTACTCCATATTACTGCCCCAGGTTTTAAAACCAAATCCTTAACTAAGTTAAAAACCTTACATTTATTTCACAATTCAATTCTTGTCATTTCCAACCAGGCCTCAGGGGAAAAAAACGTTTCCAAATCCTAGTGCAGATATCTTACTATCTATAAATAACCATCAAATGGGCAAAACAAAACAAGGAGGGGGAGCAGGGAGCACTACCTAAGCTCCTCTCTTGTTTTAACTACAGATTCACACAGAACTGCCACGCTTTAAAGTTTTTGATGCAGATTGAAGTACTCTGCCTTAACCAGCATTAAGATACTCGGGTGACACTTCAGTAACAAAGCATCGCGCCTCCTGTGTCCCACAGAAAATTAAGTGACAAAAGCTACTTTTAAACTTGTAGTGCCAAGATGGATACAGCAGGACTTTATTTACCAGTAATAAACTACTGAATTTTCTGCAAGGCTGTCCATAATGGCTGGTTTACTACTGCACATTGAATTGCAACAAATATTAGTCAAATATAAGATGGCGCTGCGCTCCATAATTTTATTTTGAGATAAAGGCCCAACTACATTACCATATAACCTGCTATGCACATCCATTTCCAGTAACACAAGTTAGTTAACTGTTATAAAATCATAGCCTTGTTCCTGCAAATGCTTACACATATGAGTAATTTTAAAATTACATAAATATTAATACTGGAAAAGACCTCCTGACACACAGAATGAGATCAATTGCTATCATACAACATCATCTAATCTTTTCATAAAATTTATCAGGCTACATCGTATAACTGGGTTTTGCAGCTACGCTACCCCGGCCAAAAGGCTGCTCTAGAACATCACTCCCCAGCAGCTGGGATCTGTGTTCATCTCCAGCTTAACGTTATTCCTGAGCAATTCCTGTTTGTTCTTTGTTCATGTGCCAGTC